AAAAGCGGAACAAATTGTGGGTGGTGGTGGTGGTGTGTGTGTGTGTGTGTGTGTGTATGTCTGCGGCGCGGACTAGGTGGTGTGACTGTGTGTGTGTGCGCGTTTGATTGTGCGCCCATAGCGTCTGCGTCTGGAGTATATAACACCGAGCGACCCGGATCGGCGGCACTGGCCGAAGGCCACTACAATACGGGGTACGCAAGCTCTTCGGGGGCGATCGCGCACTGCGCCATGGAAATGCTCCGTCCACGACTGCATGCGTTGCGTTTGGAAGACCTGCTCATGTGTCGTTGTGAGTTTTCTTTCGTTCTCCAGACCTGGCAGCAGCGGGTGCCTTGATGTGTCGCCGCGAGCAAGCTGGCTTCGTTTCGTACTCTGCGATCCCGGCCAGTGCGGAGGAGGAGCGCCTTCGCCGCGCTCGACATTTCATTGCGCTGGGGGCCCGTGGTGAGCACCTTGTCGCACGCGTAGAGGCCCGACTGTGCCGTCTCCTCGTCGACCCCAGGGACCTCTGGAGCCTCGGGGTGGAACTCGGGCGGGGCGAGCGACTTCGAGCGGGCAGTGGCCCGCGGGGCCGAGAAGTCCGCGAAAGCCCAGTCGCGATAATCCGGGGCGCGCAGCAGTTCGAGGGCGGGGTAGCCCTGGGGAACCACGTCCGAGAAGCCTTCGCAGCGGGCGCAGCCGTGGAAGTCCTCGAGAAGCTAGCGGGCCCAGGGGGTGGCCTTGTGGGGAGAGCTCCCAAGTGTCCGCGATCGCATCGCAATTGCCCATCGAGCCCAAGATGCAAGCCCTGACTTTGCGATGAGAGTCGGGGCGACGGGCCCAGCTCTGGCGCCAACCCAGGCGGCGGACCCTGAGTTCGTCGAGTGTCGGCTAAAACCCCCAGCGCCCCCAGACGTTCACCGCGCTACTCACAACGCGCTACTCTCTACTCACTACTCTATTCGCTACCCCATATTCTCCACCCACCTTCTCCGGCGCAGAAAGGGGCAGCGGGAGGAGACGGGAGAAGCCTTTTTCCCCCTGTCCGGCGCACAGGGGGGGGGAGGAGCGGGGGGTTCGACCCCCTTTCCCAGCGCCAAGGGGGGGCGGGGGGAGGTCCGGACCCCCCCCCCGCTCCTTCCGAGGGAGGGGGGGGTGTCGGAACCCTTCCCCTCAGGGGGGGTGGGGGCGCGAAAATCCCACCCCCACTTTCGGCAGTGTGCACGGCGCTCGCAGGGCGCCCGGTTGCGCCGTCGCGAGATATCGCAGGCGGCGCGGAAAAAGCACGCGCGGGGCAGCTGAGCAGCATGGCGTGCGTGAAATGGCCGATCAGCGTCTCCACCCCCCTGCCTGCCACCGGCCATCGCCCGGGCAAGGCGCGCGCGCCCCGCGCCAGCCGCCGCCTCTTCGAGGGCGCCAGGCGGCGCCGGAGCTCGATGCCGTCCAGCTCCAGGCCCAGTGCCTCGCGACGTGCTTGCCCTCCTTCACCTCGCGCAGCGGCAGACTGTCGCCGGGCGTCTCCTGGGCCGCCAGCGCCCTGGCGGCGACAGAGGCCCCTGGCCGGGGCGAGACAGAGGAATGTTGTCCACGCACGCGATGCGGGGCATTGGAGACGCCGATGCCCCTGGCGGCGCCCGCCGGCCCGCCGGCCCGCCCCTAGCGCCTCCCAGCCCCGCGCGGCTGAGGAGCTCTGGGCGGGCCTGCTGCGCCCGCCCCATGGCCCGCGAGAACCCTGCGGGCGGGGCCCGAAGGTAAGGGCGCAGCCAGGCCCCCGCCAAATCGCGCTCGCCCAGAGCTCCTACCAGCTTCGCCCCGAACCGCGGCGCCGTGAAGTCTGGCACCCAGGACTGGTAGAAGCAGTTGGCGATGTCCTGAATCGAGAACTCCAGCTCGCCCCTCGGCTCTGCCTCGAGGCCCGCGACCGCCGCCGTAGACGCTAACTATTGAGGCAGGGCGCCAGAGCTTCTTGGCAGATCGCGCATCCACCATCAAGCGCTGGCGGCCTGACCTCTCCTTGCGCGCGAAGAATGCACCCGCCTCGAAATCTCGACGCGCGCGAGGCTCCACCATGCCCCCGTTCAGCAATTCCTGAACAGACAGCGTGCGCTCTCCTCTGTTCGCGCGAATGGTCTTACCCCCGTAGACCTCGCAGCCTGCTGGGGGCGCCTCCTCAGTTCGAAACTGGAAGCACGGGGGCCGTCGATCACCTCCTGGCGGCAGGGGTCGGGCAACGCGCCAGCATGCCCACTGGCCCCGCAGTGTCTGGCCGCGAGACCAAGCCGCGATCGTGCAGAGCAGCCGCGGAGAGGTCCTCGCACGCGTAGTCGAGGGCCTCGGTGCCAGGAAACTCCTTCAGGGCTGCCTCGTCGGCGGCCGCCTGCTCTGGCGGCTCGTCGTCTGCGACCTCGCGCCAGGTGCTGCTGAGCGCCGAGGACTCCGCCAGAGACGGCCAGACGGTCGAGGCCCGCGCAAAAACAAGCCGCCCCCGAGGAGGTCGTCGAGGGCGGCGACGCAGTCATTCGAGCGTCGGCCGATGGCCGCCTTCCTGCCCAGACGCGGAGCAGCGCGGCGAGGACCTCGGCGAGGTTCAGGGGCAGGAGGGGCTTCCAGAACCTCAGGCAGCGGGGGCAGATCCCGAGGCGCCATCCTCTCCATGGCGCGGCCTTGTTTGGTCGGCCGGCCCCCTGTCCATAGTGGCTTCCTTGGAGCGCGCGCGCGCGCTCCTCGGCAGCCTTCCTCTCCCCCTTCAATGGCCAATGGTCTTCCCAGGGGCGCGGCTGCTCAAGATGGGCCCGGAAACGAGCCCCAAACAAAGCGGTTCTGGATTTCCCAAAATTAAGCAACAGCTCAACCGCTCCCGGAAGGGGGTTTGGCAAATGGCACGCGGCGGCCCATTTCCCAAAATGCGAATGGCTAGAAATGTACAAACAATCTTAGGTGTCGTCGGTTGGGCCAGAGACGCCCCGCGAAAAATGGCCCGCGGCACCCCCGCCCCACATGGCCGAATCGCGGGCTGCCGACTCAGCGACCCACTTCAGCAGCTCAAGGCTCATGATGGCGCAACCCAGTGCGACGCGACCTGCCCGGGTAGTGGCCCCGCGCATCGAAGTCCCTGCCCGCCCTCCACCTCTTCCCGATGCGATGCTCGATGTGATGGGCGCGGCGGCACAAGCACTCCACGCTCGCAAGGTTCGACGCGTCGAGCTGGTCGAAGGTCGTCGCGAGCTCCAGGATCCCCGAGAGCATCTCATTGATGACCGCGCTATGCTCCTCCTCCTGCAACTTGTTCTCGCGTTCCAGGTCATGCGCCGCTGGGCTGGGCCGCCCGCCGGCTCGGACATCTCCTTTACCGCGCGAAGAACCGCGCGGGGGCCCTCTAAGATCCAGTCGTCGAAAGTGGACTGCTCGGACGAGCTCGCCGCGCTCTTCAGATCCCTGAAACGTTTCCCGCTGCCGCCCCTGACGATGGGCAGGGCGCGGGCGTTCTCCGAGCTCGCCGCCACTGACGCCGGCCTCGGCGGAGTGTCCGCGCCCCCCGCCCAGTCGCTCTTCTTCGCCGTGCGGTAAAATGTCGCGATCACCTTGTCCTCTGTCTCCCCGACCTCAACTCCGCGCAGCACCGCGGGGTCCCCGCGCGAGCCCACGTCATGGCAGCCGACCGCCGCCATGCTGATGAACTTATCGGACGGGAAGCCGCGGTGCTCGGCGAGCGCGAAGGCACTGCCAACCGACGCTGCCGACGACTTCGGGCCGCACACCCGCTTAGAACGCTTGGGCCCCGCCTCGGACGCATGAAGTCCCGCCGGCGGCGGCAGAGGCGGCGCCGCAGCTCCATCTGCCGCCGGCTGCGGCTCCGGCACCTCTGGCGACAGGCTCAGCTAACGCCTCTCGTCTATCGCTATGGCTCGGCCCTCCTCGAGCAAGTCTCTCGGCCCCTGCCCCGTGGGCCGAGCCTGGAAGCGGTGCGCCGGCTGGCCGCGCGCCGCGCCCAGCCCAGCAAGCAGCCTTCCTCGGGGGCCGGCCTGCACGAAATCCCCCAAATACTCCCAGCTGACCGTCTCGGCGTAGACGTCCGCGTTCGGGGCCATCGCGATGTAGGCCAATCCTCGACGAGCGCCAGGATAAGGCGTTAATGCCAGGGTTTCCCTGCCACGCCGTAGTTTAGGAACGCCACCTCCCCTGGCTTCAGCCCCAGCAACCTCTGCCTTCTCGATCGTCTTTGCATCGTGGCGATCGACATGAAGTGGAACCGCAACAGGCGCCAACACACATGGAGCAACTGGCTTTTTGAACGCGACCGCGCCCACGAGGACCAACCTGCACGTCACGCAAAATGAGCAGCACAGAGCCTGCATCGCCAGCACCGGCAGCAAGCTCAACGTGAACGCCAGCGCGATTCCCGACACGGCCAGGCCCAACGGCATTGGGGTCGACCGAATGCCCTGCGAGCTCAAGCGGGCGTTGGCCGAGGAGGAGAGGGCGACCGCGCAGGGGCTCACCCCCAGTGCCTGCTGCAGGCCACCAGAGATATCGTTCGCCGATCCTGGGGCCGGAGAGCGGGCGAGGGAAAAGGGCCACCCGAAATCACCCATCCGCCGCCTCGAGAAACCGCTTGAGCACAAACAGTTGCGGCCAACACATAATATTCAGCATTGCACACTGCCCTGCGTTGCTACAGGAGAAGGAGGAGGGGAAGAGGAGGAGGAGGAGGACGAGGAGGAGGAGGAGGAAAAGGAGGAGGAGGAGCCTTGAGAGCAGGGAGGGCCCAGGCCTCCGACGCCGCATGTTTCCCTCAACGTGCCCCCCAGAGGTCTGGACCCCTTCTCCTGGACTGTGTCCCATCCAGAGCAGCTCTTCCGCGGTCCTCAGGGGCCACTGCGGGCCCCTGGGGGACGAGACCAGCAAAAAACCGCCCGTCGCTGATTTTCCGAAACGAGAAGAAAACGTTTCCGCCCCCACGCAATGTGGCGGCACGCGCGCGGCCGGGGCAGCGAACGGCGGCCGGCGGGAGGGCAGGCCTGGACCTCCTCCTCGTCCTGCTCGTCCTCGCCCTCGTCCTCGCCCTCCTCACTGGTCGGCCGCGGGCGAAAAGGGAGAGGGGGAGGAGGAGGAGGAAAGGAGGATGAGGAGGAGGAGCAGGAGGAGTAACAGGGGCAGGAGGAGAAGAAGAGAGGGAGGGTGGAGGGCGGGAGAGGGAACGAGGAAGGGCTACGAGCAAAAACGGGATCAGGGGGAAAGAGGACGGGGGTGGTGGGGGGATATTCCTGCGCTCAGGCGAAAAAACCCGCGTCTGACAGCGTGCCTGGTCAACCTGGCCTTACAGGCTGGTGCTCCACACCGCAGGCCAGGCCAGGCCACTGGCCGCTGTTGAGCTGCTCGAGGAGACCGGACCCTGCCCCCAACTGGGGCAGCCACGAAGGGGGGCCATGAAGGAGGGGCGGCAAGTGGACGGCGGCCACGACGGAGGGAAAGTTCAGGCGGGCCGCGCGAGGGGGTGGTGCGGGGGGGGCGGCCTTCGGAGACTGTGAGCTGCCGAGAAGACCCCTGGGCCCTGGGCTTCCGAGAAGTCTTCTCTCGTCCGCCCCCAGGGCCCTGCCAGAGGGCCCCGCGTTCTTGGATCCTCTTGGCTCCCGAGGCCGCCCCTCTCGCGCCGCTCAGCTTGTGGGCTGCCAATGCGCTTCGCCCAGCCGATCCCCATCCCCACTGGCATGGCCTTGGCCACACTGGCCGACCTACCCCCCCGGGGCGAGGATCTACACTGCTCCTTCGGGTTTCGCTGGACCTATCCCCGCCTCGGGGTGTGGGCTGGTGGGTTGGGATGCCCTGGCCCAGTGGGGATGGGGGTTCGGATGGGGGACCGTTTCCCTGGAGGGCCGTTTCCCCAAAGACCTCTTCCCCGGAGACCTCTCCCCCAAAGGACCGTTTCCCCAGAACCGTTTCCAAGGAACCGTTTCTCCAAAACCGTTTCTCCGGAACCGTTTCCCCGGATTGTTTCCCCGGAACCGCTTCCCTGGATCTGTTTCCCTGGACCCTCTTCCCTGGAACCGTTTCCTGTGCACCCTCCTCCCGGGAACCGTTTCCCAAGAGACCGCGTCCCCAGTACCACTTCTCGAGGGAGGATGAGGGAGGAATGAGAGATCAGGGAAGGAGGAATGAGGGAGGGAGGAAGGGAAGGATGAGGGATGAGGGAGTCGGGAGGGACGGACGAAGGACGAGAGAGGAAGGGATGGATGAGCGAGGGATGAGGGAGGGAGGTGAGGATGAGGGTAAAGGAAGGATAGATGAGGGATGAGTGAAGGACGGATGAGGGAGGGAGGGCGCAAGCATGAGCGATGAGGGATGAAGAGAAATAGGGGGGTCGAGGGATGAGGGATGAGGGAAGGAGGAGGACGAGGAGATGGAGGAGGAGTAGGAAGACCCTGCTTTTGCGACAAGCCGTGCAAATGCTACTGAGCACGCTAGATGTCTCGGGGAGACGGGCCAAACCAAATCGGATCACCTCAAGTGCGGACATCTCTGAGCCCAGAGGTGGAGGGATGAGGGAGGGAGGGATGAGGGATGAGAAGAGGTAGCATAGATGAGTGATGAGAGAGGGGAGGAAAGATGAAGGACTGGTCCAGTCGGGCGGGCGGACCCTACCGGGGGGCTCGGGTCGGTTGGGCGGGACCCTGACGGGCGGGTCGGGTCGGGCGGGCCCTAACAGGCGGGACGGGTCGGGTCGGGCGGGCGGGGGACATTCAACAAGTATTGCGCGTCATCGAATTGGCACGCGAGTACCCTAACGGGCGGGTCTGGTCGGGCGGGCGGGCGGGACCCCAACGAGCGGGTCAGCTCGGGCGGGCAGGGCCCTAACAGGCGGGTCGGGTTGGGCGGGCGGGTAGACCCTGACGGGCGGGACGGGTCCGGTTGGGCCGGCGGACCCTAACGGGCGGGTCGGGTCGGGTCGGGCGGGCGAACCCTAACGGGCGGGTCGGGTCGGGTCGGGCGGGAGGGACGTAAATGTATGGCGCATCATCGAGGTGGGACGCGAGTACCCTGACGGGCGCGTCGGTCGGGCGGGCGGGCGGATCCTAACGGGCGGGGCGGGTCGGGTCGGGCGGGCGGACCCTACCTAACGGGCGGGTCGGGTCGGGTCGGGCGGGCGGGGCATTCAAGTGAGATGCATCATCGAGTTCGCACGCGAATACCCCTAACGGGCGGGACGGGTCCGGCGGGGGGCGGACCCTAACGGGCACCCTAACAGGCGGGTCTGGTCGAGTCGGGCGGGACATTACAGTACGATGCGGCATCGCATTGGCACGCGAACACCCCTAACGGGCGGGACGGGTCCGGCGGACCCCAACGCAACGGGCGGGGCGGGTCGGGTTGGGCGGGCGGGCCCCAACGGGCGGGCGGGTCGGGTCGGGCGGGCGGGACATTAAAGTATTGGCATCGTCGAACTGTCTCGCGAGTATCCTCACGAGCGGGTCTGGTCGGGCGGGCGGGCGGGCGCCAGAGCACCCGGCTCGAGTGCCTGGCCCGGAGCACCGGGAGGACCTATAGGGTGCCTGGAGTGTCGACACGAGCGCCACTGGACCGGTCTGGTCCTGCGGAACTGGGCCTGCGGAACCTGGCCTAAACGGGCATGTGGAACCGGTTCCGCGGAACCGATTCTGCGGAACCGGTCTTCGTTGAACTGGGCTTTGCTGAACCGGTCGTCTGTTGGACCGGTGTTTGTTGAACAGGTCGACTGCTGAACCGCTCCCTGTTGAACCGGCCGTCTGTTGAACCAGTCTTCTGCCGGGAGGAGGGGGGAGGGAGGGAGGGAGGATACGCGAACAAGTGGCGCAATGATTATGAACGGCACTTTCCAGCAATATGAAGGGAGTCCACAACTGTATTATTAGCAATCATGAACGAAGAGACCTGCCAGACATGGCAGTTGGCCCCATTGCCCGGATCTGGCAGACGCGGCGGCAAAGGCATCACCGAGACAGCGGAATTCAGGAGGCCATGCAGCAACTCAAGAAGGCAGCCCAAGATGAATTACCTCACCGACAACCTTTCGAACTGGAAGACTTCGAGGCGGCTTTACCGAAGTTTCGACCAACAACGGCAAGAGGAATAGATCAGTGGCAACCTGCAGAGACCAGAGCACTCCCAGCTGAAGCGAAGCGCAGACTGGTCGCCCTCCTAATCTTGTGCAAGCGCAACCTCAGTTGGCCGTTCCAGTTCTACCACATCTGGTACCACCTCTCAGCCAAAGCTGGCTCCGACACGGGAGGAGAAGAGCGGCCGATAGGGCCATTACCTTTCCCTGTTCGTCTTTGGGGCAAGATGGCAAAAACCAGAAATGCAAAATTGGTGTGCTGAGAGAGCCGGCTTCTGGGACGCAGCGATCCAAGGTTCTTCAGCTTTGCGCGCAGCGATGCTCTCCATGGCCCTAGACGAGACCAGCGCAAACCTCCAAGGATCGTGATGTGGAACTTTCTACCTAGACCTCGAGAAGTTCTACGACAGCGTGGACTTCAGCCTGCTCCTCCAGCGCGCCATGCAGCTAGACTATTCGAGAGTAAACATCAACATCTACATAAGCATGCTGATGCACCTATCACCTTGCGTGGTACGCGCCTGACAAACTTAACGCAGCAGCCCCGATCTGCCCATGGAATGCGATTGTAGCAGGCTGCGCGGCGGCAAATCATGCAGCACGAGCCATGATATACATCATCCTACATATCACACGCCGAGCAGCGCCACTTGCCATCGCCAGAGAGTTCGTCGAGGACCTGCGCACGCGTGCTGAAGGGGGCCCAGTGCAATTCCAGGAGCAGTTTCCCGCGGCAGTAGACACCTTGCTCCAAGCGTGCATTGACTCGAAGCTGATGGTATCAGGCAAGTCGGCCCTCCTGACCAACTGCACCAATGCCAAGAAGCACATCGTCAAGCAGTTGGGTTCCAAGAGCATCGCCAAAAGGACACCGCGCTGCGTCAAGGATCTAGGCATCGACGCAACGCTGGGACGAAGCAGGATTGCAGCTACAAGGTCGCCCAGCACCGAGCAAGCCAGAGAGCGAGAGAAAGGGGCCAATATATTCACCAAACAAAAGGGCACGTGGAGGAGGCGAACGGCGGCGCTCTTCAATGCCAGCCTGGGGGCCAAGCAGAACTATGATTGGCCAGTCACAGGCCTCGACCCCAATGGAGCACGACAAGCTCGGGCACAAGCGGCAGACATGGCGAGGGTCGACGCGGGCGGCAGATGCTCAACTACGACAGGGACGGCGCGAGGACATCGAGAGGTTTCACAAGATGCGCGGAGGAGGAACATGGAATGCAGTATCAGGACCCATGGGCGTGTTAATCCTCGCGCTCCAGCAGCCACATGGAACCCGCGCGACCCCGGCGAATGGGAAGATCCACGAGGCGACGTCTGGAAGTTTACCGACGGCCAGATCCTGGACTTCAAAGATATCACCAGCGCAGTGGCTAAAGACAGGTCCAGCAGCTGCGGTACAGGGCGAAGGGCCACTACTTCGGCCAGGGAATGCAGCGCGGTATGGACACAACGATGCTCAAGCAAACTGTACACAATCTCCGCAATGCTGCCCGAGTCCAAGAAGCAGGAGCACTTGACGCAGTGGCACGCGGTGCAATTTGGACAGGCGAACGAGTTTGACAGGCGGGATATACCACAGACGGCATCTGCGCCAGATGCGGCAAAGCTTCTGACACGCTCAAGCACAGATTCTATGAATGCGAGATGAGCGATTACCTTAGCATCGACGCGATGACAGAGTCCCAGACCTAGTGTAATGAGGCTGTGGAGGAGACGCACGATGACCCAGACAGCGAAGAATCCTGGCTACGCGGTCTACTGCCCCAACATCGTAGACCAGTGCCAGATCCACCGAGCTGGGGCGATTGGGGTGGAAGCCATTGGAGCGCGGCGACCAAAGGCCCGTTGGTGATGGCCCAGCACGCGGCGGCAATAAAACCCCAATGATGCAAGAAAACCTTCATCGACGGCTCAGGCACCAACAGCGACAAGCGCGTCAACAGAGTCGGCCGGGGGCCCACGCTACAAACTACAGGCGAGCCACTAGCTGAAAGACAGCGCGGAGGCGAAGTGTTCTGGGAAAAGGCCATCGAGACACAAGATGGAGCCGGCAACGATAGTATGACAGAGCAGGGCATCACCAACATACCACGACCTAATCCCGAAAACCAGGAACGCCGAAACCTCATGAACGACGCTCGCCACCGTCGTGGTCGACCTGACCAATGAGAAGAAGTACGAGAGCGATGCCTCGACCTCCGTCGGCAATGCCCTACGTGCCCCTCAGTGGCGGCTGCGGTTGCTGATGGCAGTGACACCCTTTCATGGCCCGCAAACGCGCGCTGCTCACCACAACAAGGGACAGAAGGGACCGACCTGACGGGAAACTGCCGACCCGATGTCAGAGGCATGAATCAGTCGCCAAGGGGCGTTGGTGATCGTCCACGTGACACCGTCAAAGCAGGGCAGATAGAAGAGACGAACCAGTTGGGCTACTACGGCACAGTAGACGGCGAGCAGTCACTTGCTCACCCAGGGCCCCATCACCATCTACGCGGACTGGCAGCAGGTGTGGAATTGATGGAATCACCGACCTCAGGGCAAAACAGATAGGCTGGTGGCTGCGGATTGGCCAAGCACTAACTACGACGACCGAGGCAAGAGCATGGAGCTCAGGTGAACAAATGCATCTCGCAACTGGGCAAGGAGTCGCTCGCCAAAGCAACGCAGCCATTATACATCTGCCTGGGGAATGAGATATCGGACACAACGGCACACCGTGGAGCAGAAGAAACGCACTCCACCATCAACCAATAAATGCAACAACTAACGGACACGGAACGATTACTAGTCAGAATTCAGGGGCGAGCGGCAGCCATCACCCAGGAGATCTGCAAGGATGTGGACGCGAACAAAGCGCGAGAGGAAGCGACCAGCTCCGAGCCACACTGATCGACAACGTCGACGCCAATTGGGGATGGAAGCGGGGCACAACATGCACAAGAAGCGAGGACAGTGGGTCTGCCGGGAATGCTGGAAGTCGCCTGGCAAGTACAGCGTCCTGGACTGGATGAAGGCTAATGTGTGCACCGGAAGGCAATCTGAGAGCCATAGTGCCGACCACGGACACGCAGTACCCGTCCCCAACAATGAGACGATAAAGGTGCATGGCAAGGCTATCCACCCCAGCCACCGCATCGCAGTCGTTCATGGACAGTTCTGGTGCTGGAATTGCGCGCTGGTGGCCTCGCACAACAATGATGGACGAGGGCGGCTCGCGATGCTGACACGATAATGCAACGACAACATCACACCCAGTGGAGAAACCGTGCTGAAGCGGCTGCGCCTGGGGCTGCCGCCGAAGGCTGGACAGAGCTGGCCAGACGGCACGATCTCGCCGAACGGCGGCCTGATACCTCGTGTTGCAGCTGGGCCACGCCGAGCTGAACGACGCCGACGAGGTTGAGTTCACGATTTAGGTGGTGGGCATAGGCTATTTGCCTCATGCCAGGGTGGCGGCCTCAGGGTGCGGCCCACGCACCCCGCATACAGATTCTGCCCTGGACTGGTAGCGATGGGGGAGGGCAGCGGCCTGCTGCCGCCGTTCTCGCGCCCTCTGAAGGACACCTGCGAGATGGTTTTCAGCTGCGCGCGCCCGTGCGGGACTCGCGCGTGAGCCCCCCGCGGCCGCGTCGACGGCGGACGCCCCTTGATCCTCGATCCTCCTCCTGCTCCTCCTGCTCCTCCTCCTCCTCGTATTCAATTCTGGTTTCCTCTCCCCACATCATCGTCCGACGCCCAGAAAACCACGCCGAAGCATGAGTCCCTCCACGCCTTCCAGCGGGTTGCCGTGGTACTGCTCCCTGGCACGCTCTCTCTCCCTTCTCCCCTCCCTCCTCTCCTCCTCCGCGTTCTGGACATTGCCAGGTTCGGCGTCTCAGGGCCAACCGGACCACCCTCGAGGGAGGGGCCGTCGAGCCGCGCGGCGGCTCAGGGGCCGCTCCTCGGGGGTGGGCGGCGCAGGGGCCGCTCCCAGGGGGTGGGGCTGGGGAGCTGGTCGGGCACCGTTGGGCTTCGTGGTCCGGGGAGTGGGCCTGGCCTCGTCGGCGTCGTCGTCGTCATCGTCGGCTTCGGCTTCGTCGGTGTCGGCGTCGACGTCGGCGTCGTCGGCCCGTCGTCGTCGTCGTCGTCTTCGTGGGTTCGTCAAGCCTCCCGTGTCTGAACCTTTCCACTCCTTCCCCTGCCTCTTGCCAGAAACAACGTGCTGGTCTGGTCCTCCCACTCCGCCTCCTCCTCCTGCACCTGCTCCTGCTCCTCCTCCTCATCCTCCTCCTCCTCCGTCTCCTCCTCCTCCTCCTCCTCCTCCTCCCGAAGAGGAGCGAGCTGCGCGCGCGTGTTGTGTTGTGTTGTGTTGTGTTGTGTTGTGTTGTGTTGTGTTGTGTTGTGTTGTGTGAAGTTGTGTTAAGTTGTGTTGTGTTGAGTCGTGTTGCGTTGCGTTGCGTTGTGTCATGTTGTGTTGTGTTGTGTTGTGTTGTTGTGTTGTCTTGTCTTGTGTTGTGTTGTGTTGTGGTGTGGTGTGGTGTGTTATGTTGTGGTGTGTTGTGTGTGTACTGTGTGTGGTGGTGTGGTGTGGTGTGGTGTGGTGTGGTGTGGTGTGGTGTGGTGTGGTGTTGTGTTGTTGTGTTGTGTTGTGTGGGTGGGCGGGGGAGGGGGGGAGGGGATGAGGAGGGGCGGAGCGCGGATTCTCCTTCTCCTCCTCTTCCGCGATGGCCACCTCGCGGGAGTCCCTCCGCGGCGATGTCGGCACGCGGCTGGGGCCTCGCGGCAGCGGCAGATCGGAGAGACAGGAAGCAACTCCTGGGAGGTATTCGTGGAAACGGTTAACCAGGACAGGAACAACAATCCCCACCCCCGCCAAGGGAAACCTTGGCCCCGCTGCCGGAACTACCCCTCCTAGGTTGGGATGGATGCCGCCCCCTTCGGGCTACGCAACACCCATCCCCACCCCCATCCCCACCAAGGGGTGGTGTAAGCTGGGGGAGGGAGATCCGCCATTGTGCCCTGTGCACGTTGAAGCGTGGAAGAATGCCAAGGGCTGCCTGGTAGGACTTGCATATACTCTTATAAGGGCCGCCCCATCTACTCGCATCCCTTGCATGCATCACCCCCTCACCCGAAGCTCCCTCTGCATCGATCCCTGGTACAAAAACCATGGGTCCGCGTCCCGAGCTTCTAAGGCGGCGCGGGCAAGCAACCACGGCCGCCAAGCTGGCCCACTATACCTCGAAATCTGCCGAAGATGGCCCCAAGGCGGCCCAGTATGGGCTCAGGACGGCTAATCATGCCTCCAGAGGGGAGGGGGGGGGGGCAAGAGGGCCACAAGAGGACCACCAAGGTGGCCCGAAGAAACCTACATGGCTGATCGTCCATTGATGCTTGAATGGAAGTCACATTATGTGTCCTCCTTGGTCTTCCGTCAGCTGAAATTGGCCGAAGAAGCCTCCAAGCTGACCTCAAGAGGCCCCCATGAGAGCCCCAAGGTAGCCAAATAGAATCCCATGATGGCCCACGAGGGCTCCAAGACGGCCCCAAGCTGGCTGGAGAGGGCTTCTGGAGGGCGTCAGTAATACTGCTTCAGAGTGCCCCATCGGCAGCCCAGGATGGCCACACGACGGCCGCCAGACACCCTGCACACGGCCAAGAAAGCCCCAGACGGCCCCCAAAATCCCCAAGACAGCCTAGGCCCAAGAGGACCCTCAAGGACCCCACGACTGCCCCGCTGGAACCCAGGCCAGTCCCAAGACGGCCCAAATCAGGTGGTCTACGAGAATTCCTCCATACGTGAAGACGCCAAGTGTCAGAATTGACTGTGGTCCTCGTCTTCATCCTCCTCCTGCTCCTACTCCTCCTCCTCCGCGTCATTCCCCTCCTCCTCTTCACCATCCTCCTTCTCCTCCTCCTCCTCATCGTCCCCCTCCTCCTCCTCCTCATCATCATCATCATCACCACCATCGTCAGCATCATCATCGTCAGCATCATCATCGTCGTCACCGTCGCTATCAGCATCCGCATCATCATCATCATCCTCATGATCACCCTAATCATAGCCGTCACCACCATCACCATCATCGCCACCATCACCATCACCACCACCACCATCATCATCACCACCACCATCACCAGCATACTCATTAGCATCATCATAATCATCATAATCATCAGCATCATCACCACCGCCATCCCAATCAGCATCACCGTCACCATCAGCATTATCTTCACCATCATCATTACCATCCTCCTCCTCATCCTCCTCATCATCATCAACGTCCTCATCCCTCGCCTCCCCTTTCTCCTCCTCCTCACCATCATCATCATCAGCATCAACATCAAAATCAGCATCAACATCATCATCATCATCATCATCATGGTGCGGGCTGCTCTTTTTCAAACTACTGCTTGCGGAGACCGAATGAGCACGCACATCGACACTGCCCGGGCTTTTTGGGGTGGGAGGGTTCTGAGAAAACCAAAAAGCTTACTGAGCGGAAGAAGCGGATGCAAAGGCCAGATCATTCCCGTGGGGCACAAACGTGATGCTGGCTGCTCTGTTCCAAACTACTGCATGCGGAGACCGAGTGAGCACACGCAATCGACACTGCCCACCTTCAGCCTCCCGCAATCAACACTGGCCTGGCGAATTTATTCGACGCGTAGACCTACTACAATCTTGCTGACGGAAATCTCTCCCCCCGAGGCCCCCGAATTAAGAGGGGCGAGAGGGAACGAGGGAGGCGAAAATGGGCCACGGGGCATGGACACGCAAGAGGCTAAGGGAGTTAGCGAAAGCCTGGGATAATACCTCACAGAGCTTTTCGGGATAAACCTGTTTTAGCCGAGTAAGAAAACCTCCTGAACCAGGCCCATCGAGTTGAAGATGCGATTTCCCGGAGAACATACATACACCACGACCCAGACATTTCGCTTGAAGGAGGACGAGGCCTTTACAATGCAACAGATGGAGCCTGGTCCGAGCACGCCAAGCTGCACCAAACGCGCAGTAGTCAACTACATTTTGTGTACACGCCCTGCGTTGACGATGAATGGGTCGATCGTATACTGACCAGAGAAAAGATTGAGCTGGATTCTCTTCGCCGCAAGGAATACCACGATCAATGCAGGATTTAAGCAGCGCCCCGCTACGCTGCGCCAGAAGATCCCCTTCTGCCACCAATGACCGATCTTTGCCGCGTAGATCTGGTAAACCACACGGGCACTCTTGAGTACGCAGCCGACGAGGTAGCTGCGACCACTGAGGGGCGCGCGTAGGGACCGAGAACGACTGGCACGGGGTCCCTGACCACAGTCCTGACACAACGCCTGATCGAATCCAACCCAACAACGAGTGAAATACATCGTCGCGCAATAGGTGGCACTGAGCCCCGTGGGCAATACCGACGCGCGCGACCGCGACACTACCGCGCGCCAGGGCACGCGCCAAGCCTCCCGAACCGGAGAAAACATCTAGGAATACTCTCTGCAATGCAGGCTGCGGCTGCGCAAGAGCCTCGCGCAGCGCGCGGCGGAGGGCGCGATGCCGCGCTCCATTGGCAAGGCGATCTCCGCAGGTCGCGCCGCCGGCAGCTCGCCGAGCTGCAAGGGCGCCCTGGCAGGCTAGTCGCACCGAGCCACAATGCGGGGGTTGCGCCAGTGCCCCGGCTGCTGTCTGCACGAGGAGGTCATGACTGGCTCGCCCTGGCCACGGCGCGTAGAACGTCGGCTCGACCGAGTAGGGCCCCCAGCGGCTCCATTGCGTCCACGAAGGAGCGGTGCCACTTCCTGGGGCAGACGTCGAGCAGGCGCTCGGGCTGGCCGAGGTCCAGCAGCACCCTGAAGTCGAACTCCTGCGTCTCTAACGGGCGGCCGAGCTCCTCCACGTGCACCCCGAAGGCCCCGTAGGTTCCAGGCTCTTCTGGGCTCGATGGGAGGATGAGCGGCGCCACCGAGAGGCCCAGCAGCGAAAACGACCGCAAGTACGTCACGAACAGCACAATGACGGCCAGCGCCCCGATCGGGCGCGCGGCCTGCGCCACCTCGACGAACGCCCACAAGCCCTGACCCCCTTGCGGGGCCAACCAGCGAGGCACTAAGCCTCGCGGTCGCTGTCGGACGCCCTCGCGGGCCCGCGCCGAGCGGATGGAGGCCCGGGGGCCGACCTGGCCAGAGGCTGCCACGCGGGGGCCTCGCGGCCTGCCACCAGCTCGGGCGCGCTGGGAGGCCCCGCGGCCGCTCGGCCCAGCGCTCGCGCCGCGAGCTTGGGAGCGAGGCTCGGCGCGCCGGCGCAGCGCGTTGAAGCAGCCCAGGCCCGCGTCGCCCTCGTCGTCGGAGACGAAGGGGGCCGCGCGCCGCGGCTGCGCCGCCGGGCACGGGGCGGCACTTGACGAACCCCCCAGCGCCCGCGGCCCGCCATGCCGAGGCTGGAACGCCCGACTAGCAGCGTCCAAAGGGTTCCGCTCGGACGGCACTCAGCGATCCGCCAGCTTGAGCCCAGCGGCCAAGCAGAAGGCGGCCGAAATCCGACACTGGAAATTCATCGCAGGATTTGACGAGCGACCCTTTGCATGCGCGCAGATCACCGACATGTTATCACCCAGGACGAGCACCCGAAATTCATGAAGACTGCAGTCACGAGCACGGCGTCGCAGAGTCCAAGTCCGAGCTCTCGCCTCCAGCTGGGCCTGAGGCCCGGGCAACCCCCTCCAGCGACCAGTATAGGCAACCTCCAAGCTCTCTGAGAAAGAGACGGGGACCTCGGCAAACTCCCTCACACGCCCGAGATCCAGGATCACATCCTCCGACGCCTCCGAGACACAGACCTCCCCCTCATGCTCGGTCAAGGGCCCGTGAACGGGGGGCTCCCGAGACACTGAACAGCCCCCGAAAGCGGGCGCGTTCCCGAACGCGACCAACGACCGCGACCTCCTCGAGGGCGCATCGCAGGCAGCCAACCCCGAAGCCCCAGGCAGACGCGCCATAACCAAAGACCCGATCTCGCCAGGGATGTCGCACGCAAGATCGAGCCAGAGGGAGAAGGGCGCGAATCCAGCGGACTTCGCGCGCAACCGAAGGCCACAAGGGTTGTCGCCGAACATAGCTGTCCTGCATGAACATGCACTTTCTCCATAACACACAATAGCTCGGGGGCCAACGGCCAACGAGAAGAGGGCGGCGACGTGGCCCGCGAACCTCTCCGACTCCTGCCCCGCAACGCCCCCGCCGCTTTCCAGTAGATGATCACGCGCGAGCTTCGCCTTCCAAAAGCGACAGGCCTCAGGGCGCCACCCCCCTTCGACCCCGCGAGCGCGAAGCCGATGCAATCGTGGTCCCCGGGGCCCGCGGCCCCCAGCGACGAGGCGACCCCCCCTCCTCGAGTTTCTCCTTCGCTCCCGCGACGGCATTCTCCGCGACGACGGGGTCCGCGCTCAGACGCAGGTGAGCGGGGCGGCGGGCCGTGGAATCAAGGGCAGGCCGAAAAAGAACACCTGTAATGGCTAGGGGGCCAAAACTGGCAATGGCAGACTTCAATGCCCCCCATGCGCAGCGGGGATTACACGGGGCGCACGCTCTAAATGTGCAAGAGCCTCCCCCGCGGGCAGGGCGACCCCAGGAGGCCCCTTAAACCAAATGTCGGGAACGCGGGTATCCCAGATCATTCGGAGTGCGCCAGATTTCTTGCGCACGAAAAACAGCCACTCTCTTCGGGCGCGTCCTCGCTGGCCTCCGAAACGCCAGCGCCCCAGAGTTCAGCAGCGAACTCCCCG